CCCCCCCCCCTACCTGATAAAAAATGAACGGTCCCTTAACCAAGCGTGCTTCAAACCATGCTAAGAGAATATTGGCCGTCAGTCTGTTTTGTAACTGACCTCATTTCAGTTCATTTTGTATATATATAGCTTTCCTGTTTTTTGGCTTGTCAAATAGTCTTTCTGCATGGAAGTGTTTTAAAACTTTACCCACCTGGTGAGTTGAACAACAGTGTGTTTCATTTTATAGCAAGGAATCCCAGATGACAGTGATGAATTTGGGGAGTTTCGTCTCAGGGTAGCAGATCTTATCAAGGATTGTGTGTTTATTGTAGGATCAGGAAATTGTTTCAGCCAGGTAAGAAAACTAGGAGAAAGCGGGTCCAAAATAGTGTGTTATGTGATCATTATATACATGTGTGTGTTCTGCATTACTAACCTCGAAACAACGAGACAAAAATAACACATCTATTAGAAAGAAGCGGACAGCAAAAGAGAAGACTCGAAATTGTGTCTCGTTAACTTAAAAGCTTACAAAATGGACAAGACATTTCTCAAGAACAGGACCATTTTCTGTTTCCTTGCCAAAAGATAATGTTTTTTTTCGGTAATAATTTGTATAGTGAACAGTAATCACTCCGATTGTGTGATTGGAGAATAAAATTGCTGTTACTGTAGTATTAGTAAATAAGTCGTTCTTGTGTGGCAGACATACGTGTAAGAGAACATCAAGTGCAAGGTACGAAATGGTAAACCTGCATAGTGTACTTTGAAGATTTTAAATTTTATTTTGTTTATTCAGTTTCATCATCGAACATAAATTCTAGAATTTTTACCACCTGGAAATATCTAAAATTTTCGATGAAAAGTTGTTGACAGGTTCGATTTTCTTTTCCTAGATGTACAACAGCATTGTTCAGCAAGGAAACACAATACCTTGGGAAGCAACAGAGGCCATTTTGTTTGTGATGTCAACAGTTGCTAGGAATGTACCACTGTAAGATGATTCAAATGGACTTGCTTAATTCATGAATTGCTGCTCGTACGGTTATCAGGGGTTTTTTTAACTGATAATAACGAGATCATGTCGTCATAACTCACTGCTTTCAGAGACGAACCAAGCCGTAGGCGAACTAGGCAATTCGTCAACTTGAAGTTGATAAAGCTAAATTACAGTTAGGGCACTGGGGTCCTGAACATTTGACATTTTTTTACATTGCGTTAGTGTCTATGGAATGAGGGCTCTTCGTATTCAAAAGAGTATTTAGCGTTTCTACACTGTTAAGATACTAATCTTGTACATTATCTGAATAGCCTTCAGTCTTTTTTGACCAAAACAACGTGTGCAAAGTCAGGTGTTCATGGATAGAGTGTCTTTACTGTAACCGTTATAGCGAGCATGCGAGGCTCACATTTTGATAGCCTGCGAACAGGCTCTCGTTTGAAGGAGCACACGCTTCTCCCGCACCAGACTCCTCCCGCCGGATACTCGCACTTTGCCGCTCGCGCGTGGGACTCAAAGGTGATCCTGTTTGCAGGCTAACAGTTTGAACAACAGCACTTCATCAGTGCATAAAGTAGGAGAAGAATAAGTCGTAAACTGTCATGCATTGCAATCATTTACAACAATTTATTTTTAATTGACATTTTGGGCTTTGGGATGGAGGGTTAGTTTCCCTCCTCGACTTTTTTGTAGATAGCGATCATTACTAAATCTACTCGATTTCCAACGCAGAATTCCTGTTATCTGTACCGTAGAGTTGTTCCATCATCTAACTGATACTCAACCTCTCACGATTACTACGCCTTTTGCATCTTATTGTCATCGTTTCCTGTAGGGATTTTGAAATAGTTGGCCATGTCCTGCCAGTGGTTTTAAACTTACCATCAAGCTGCCATGTTGCTGTTAGACATACCAACATTAAAGTTGTGGGTGAACTAGCAGAGTGGATAGAAAAGCATCCAGACTATCTTGGTACGTGTGCCCTATACATGGTGTGGTTTGATTTGTTTTTGGCTCTTAATTTCACAGAACGGTGTGTTAATTTTTTTTGCCCCACTCTAGTTTTAGGGAACTCGTGGAAAAGTCATTTTGGTGTCTCTCTGTTCTTCTCTAACTAGTATTTATAACCATTTAATCTCTGTACTGGCAAGCTAAGGATATTACTTGTTGTCAAAGATGAACTAACAGCACCCTATAGTTCAACAAGTCTGCAAATAACAGTCGGTCATAGGACAATTGTCCGGTAAATTTGAGGTTTTGACAGGTTAAAGCTTAGCCTGGTCGGACACTCTGACCGGGCATTTCTGCTAAAATGAAAAATATTTTAACTGGAAATTTGTGGCCGAATATGAGACAAGTTATTTTGTTATACTGCCACACAATACTACGCAAAAATCTTTGTTATCGGTTTTGTTTTATTCCAATTCTGAGAACTTTATCACGCGCCGTCTCAAATGTTATGTCGAATTGTAAACACATCACATCAGCGCCACTATCCCTGCAAGTTAATTTACGCATTTTGCGGTGGCGTTGTGAAAGATCGTGAAGTCCCATTTAGTCTGAATTACGTTCATCTGAAAAACTACTAAAAACTGAGGTCTTATGTAATTACTCGTTGTTTGTTGCTACCAAGTGTTGTGGAATTAAT